GGGATGGATAGATGGATGGATGGTTGGATGGATGGATAGATGAATGGATGGTTGGATGGATGGATGGATGGTTGGATGGATGGAAGAGGGATGGATGGATGGATGGATGGATGGAAGAGGGATGGATGGATGGATGGTTGGTTGGAAGGGAAGATGGATGGATGGATGGTTGGATGGATGGAAGAGGGATGGATAGATGAATGGATGGTTGAATAGAAGATGGATGGATGGATGGATGGAAGAGGGATGAATGGATGGTTGAATAGAAGATGGATGGATGGATGGAAGAGGGATGGATGGTTGGAAGGGAAGATGGATGGATGGTTGGATGGATGGATGGATGTATGGATCGAAGAGGGATGGATAGATGAATGGGTGGTTGGATGGATGGATGGATGGATGGATGGATGGATGGATAGATGGATGGATGGTTGGATGGAAAATTGATGGATTGGATGGATGGGAGAGGGATGGATAGATGAATGGATGGTTGGATGGATGGAAGAGGGATGGATAGATGAATGGTTGGATGGATGGTGGACGGATGGATGGATGGATGGATGGAAGATGGATGGATGGTTGGAAGGGAAGATGGATGGATGGTTGGATGGATGGATGGATGGAAGAGGGATGGATAGATGAATGGGTGGTTGGATGGATGGATGGATGGATGGATGGATGGAAGAGGGATGGATAGATGGATGGATGGTTGGATGGAAAATTTATGGTTGGATGGATGGGAGAGGGATGGATAGATGAATGGATGGTTGGATGGATGGTGGACGGATGGATTGATAGATGGATGGATGGTTGGATGGAAAATTGATGGTTGGATGGATGGAAGAGGGATGGATAGATGAATGGATGGTTGGATGGATGGTGGACGGATGGATGGATGGATGGATGGATCGATGAATGGATGGATGGAAGAGGGATGGATGGATGGATGGATGGTTGGATGGATGGATGGATGAGGGATGGATAGATGAATGGATGGTTGGATGGATGGATGGATGGAAGAGGGATGCATAGATGGATGGATGGATGGATAGAAGAGGGATGGATAGATGAATGGATGGTTGGATGGAAGATGGATGGATGGTTGGATGGAAAATGGATGGTTGGATGGATGGATGGATGGTGGACAGACAGACGGATGGATGGTTGATGGACAGATGGACGGGCGGATACTTACTGAAAGTTCACAAAGCAAAGCTTCCTCAGCAATAAAAATACAAACAATACAAAAAGCAATCAGCAATGAAACTCAGAGGGCTTTGTTACCGAATGTTTCAAAGACACTTAAGCGAAGACTGCCTGGCAGTCAGCAGCTTCTAATATACACCAACAGATAGGGGTCCACCCTCTGGTGAAACTGGCCCACTGGCGCCCTCCAGTGGAGATCTAAGGCTCCAAAAGGCACAAGCTAACCACGAAAACTCCCCATATTAAGATGTAAATTACTTTGCTTCTCGTCTGTTCTTTAATTTCTTCAGATGATGCTCTGTCTCTTAACCCCTAGAACCCTACGGACCCACCAGTGGGTCCAGCTGCTACGTGACCTCGTAATTTTAACAAACCCCCAGTATTGATGTAAAAAACACATTTGGCACAGTTTGGTGACATTTTTGGATAAATGTGCCAAAATAGCCTCTCCGCCTAAGAAATTTCTCACTAATACCATTCCAAAATAAATATGATTCATCTGATTGAGTCCAAATTTGGTATATTTTTACACAACATTTAGATTTAAAAGTCTGTACTACTTTTTTGTGCTATAAATAATATTTTGGTAGTGTTTTGCAATGTTTATTTCAAAGAAAATTTTGGCGAGGTTAAAAAAATGCAATATATTTTGTATTTTGTCCCTAATATTTCAGGCAGGGTCAAAGCTACAATGGTGCTGACACCAGAAAACCATTCTATGACATCTTACCTTTACAGAGGTACCAAAAGTTTCTTCTTAAATCTAATAGCTGTGAGGCTATAAGTGATTTACTTTTGTGTGTTTTTGTCAGGCAGAAATTTATTTATACCCCCTGAGGGTGTAAGAGGTTAAGATATTTAATCAGGCTTTCATAAAATAGATTGGGGACCAATTAGGTTGCATGTCTGATAAATATTTACTCTGATTATTATTTACAGATGTGAAAATAAAAATGATTTGTAAAAGAATAAATATATGTTTCACCCAATAAAATCTGTTTTATGTTGTTAAATAATGTAGAAATTGGGGTTTCTGGAGAGCATGGACGCTGTTACCATGATGTAGTGTTATATGATCTAAAGAACAATCCAGACAGAGGTGACAGTCCAGGTTCCCATCAGATGCTCCCAACATCACTCAGGCTATTGACATCCATTGGTGCAAGTCCTTGGTTTCTTGGAAATACTCATAAGTTCACTTGGGCAACCGCTGCATTAATTGCACATTCAGGCAACGTTTGCTCTTAGGCACTGATTGTATCATTAAAAGAAATTAAAATACTACCACATTTACCGGAAAATGGCAAGCTGAAATTGTTAAAAGCCTGTTGTTATTGTGTGTCCAATTATCCAAAAGTCTCCCTTTATAAAGTGTTCAAGGGAAAAGTAACACCCAGTGTGGAAAGCCCCATAAAGCAACATGTGGAGAGAGTTTAAATAAAATTAAAAGAACATTTGTGCTTTTTGAACTGCAGGATTAAAAAAAAAAAAAATGCTGGATGGTTGGGGTTACCTAATACAAAGAGCCTGGCCAAAATAATTCACAAAACTTACTTTTCCCCATTTGTACTAAAGTGAGCACAAAATTTAATGTATTCTAATTGAGTGTCAGGTGATAAAACAAAATAAAGAATTTATTTGTGTGATTTCAAACAAAAATTATACATAGATTTCAAACCAGATAAAAGGTGATGTTCATTTGTGTTCACCCTCTTGAATTGTAATCTGTAAATTAAATCCAGAGCAATAAGTCCTAATTAGTAAACAGAGCTCTCTTTAACCTCCGTAAAACTCCAGCTGTTCTGTGAAGACTTTGAACAGGAAGGGCTATTACATGACATCCAAAGCTTTGAACCAAAGTTTGAAATGCAAATATTTCATTTTATCGCACAGAAAGATGACGAAAACATCACATATTAAGCCTTGCCAAAGAGTCTTTGAAATAAGTCCATTGTTGCTCTGGGTGACCTCAGTAAAAATTTCGTATTTTGGCACCTCTAAAAAGTTTTATTCTAGGATGCCCTACTCCAAACATTTCCCCCATCAACTCTGACCAACTTCCCAGTAGCAGATGAAGTGAAGTATTTCTCCACATATTTACTACTGTTTCACCTGAAATTTATGGCCACTATTCCTTCCTAAAGACGAATTTCTGAAGTGTTTAACTAAGGCTTCTCCAAAGTTATAAGCCTTTTGGTTTATCACAGTAGTTGGAAAAAAAACATGTCTTGGTAGGCTTGGAGTTCTGCCATGTCTTTATTTTCAGATGTTGGATGGAGCAGAGATCTGCCAGATATTTAAAACTTGACATATTATCCATGTGTCCATCCAAGACTCATGCAAATTTTAAGCAAACTTTAAAAATTTTGGGGAAAAAAGGACATACTTATTCCCATCTGGTTTGGAGCAGTTGTCATAGATTTATGTTAGGTTTGGCTGTGATAAACAGAAAGCAGAGGTAACAAGCCACAGTGAACATGGATCAGTACGGAGTGAGGTGTTAATGAATGTGTTGCAATAGGGAAGTTTGGACTTACTGTATCAGCAATGGTACAACAGCTACATGTAGAGAAAACTTAGACTTAGAAAACATTTATTGCAGTGTATTAAAGAAAAAATTTGGTTTTGTACAGCTCCCATGACCTTTCAATTTTCTACAAGTGCAGCAGTGATTGAATGTAAACATCGCTGTAGAAAAAATAACATGGTGCAAAAAAAACAAATCAATATGGTCAGTTTGATGCAGAGTTTGTGACATGATTTAGTTTTTTCAGCATTCAGCTGTCTGATGGCAGTGGGGAAGAAGGTGTTTCAGAATGAGAAAATTTGCTATCACATGGTTCTAAAAGGAATATAAAAAAAAATCAAAGAACACCTTGCACTCATAACCCCATTATGATGCATGCATGAAAGCAACACAAGACATTTTCAGAGCACAACTGATAGAGAAATAAGTTCTGTTTTTGATTTTGTGCGCCCACCATATTGGTGCCTCCCAGGGTAACTACTTCCACTAATTAGTTAATTGGCCTACTGAGACATTAATCTAATGTCCTCAATAATTAATTTATATTGTTCCTGTAAACGACAGAAAACCACTTTGAAGGAAGTGAAGAAGGTTTAAAGGCTGTTTTTTGAAGTACTTTTAATTTCTCAAATCAACACCGCAAAAATGATCTAGGAATAAGTAAAACTTCTCTTAAATCTTGTGTATTTACCCTTAATTTTAGTAGGTTAATGGGATGATTTGCCAATGGAATGAGTATTCTTACTCTTAAAATAAGATAATTAGATAATATGCACTTGTAATAAGACAGGGCAGTTGCTTTTTGTTATTTTAAATGTAAATTGTCTTGTTCCATTGCAAAGTGTCTCGCCTACCTCCTCAATTCAAGACAAATGCACTTATCTTAGGAGAAAATGACTCTTTTAGATTAACATTTTTACAGTGAAGAGAGTAAACAAAAACAAAACAAAAAAAACTTTAAGACAAACATTTCTTATAAAAGCTTAAACCCATAATATATATACTCCTCTCTTCACATTGTGTGCTACCTACAGCCAAGGTCCTGCTGCCATTTCAGTGAACTTTCATGTTGCCACAGGAAAAGTTCAGCCTTTGTAGGATCATAAATTGACATAACTATTTATGTCCATTTTTGTTTTTTGCCCAAAACTGGAAGTTTTTTGCACGTTAAAAACAACTCCTTACAAATAAGGAGTGGGACAAAGAGGGTGTTTTTCTAACAACGCTGGAGGCGCGTTTCTGTAGCGCGCCTGCAGCCCTGTGGCAGACAGGAGGACGGTCGCCATCTCTGCGTAAACACCGTTCCCATATCACGCAGTTGATATTCCAGTGTGTGGACTGGAGCAGTAAAGAAGCAGCTACAGAAGGCGGGGGCTATGCTGCCTGCAGCAGCAGCAGCAGCAGCGACCATAGAGGACACATACGGCGGCTTCAGAGCAGGACTGACGCTTTTGTTCGCCTCCTCACACCCGAAAACGATCCTCGGTGCGCCTTCCTCTCGTTGAACCTTTTTTCCCCCTCTCATTCTATTGTTTTTTTTTTAAGCCGATGGGACTCGTACGGTTGCCATAAAATGGGATTTTAATGGTGCACGTAGCAGCAGGCTGTGCACAGCCGGGGGACCGTAGCTGGAGCAGCGCGCCGGGTGATGATCGCCGAGGAATAACAGCGCTGCAGCCCAAGGTGCGCAACATCTCGTTTCCATGGACAACACGTCCATAATAACACAGGTTGCAAATCCGAAAGAGGAGGAGAGCATCTCATCGAGTCAAGATAAAGGTAAGCGGACCAATGACGTGATCCGCGCTCTTGCTTATGGTGTTTGATCATTATTGTCTTTTTTTTTGTTTGTTTATTTTTCTGTTTTGCATGGGGAGAGCAATCTGTGCAAGCCTGCAGCGCTCTCAGTCAAACAGGGATCTCTGCAAAATGTATTGATGTAAAACCCTCCATTGTTTTATGTGAAGCTGAGATCCCCCCCTCCCACACACACACACACAATAAAATAAATAAAAACTGCCACCATGCCTCAATTCGTCCAGGACACTGCAAACTTTGTATTTTTTTTTTCTTCTTTTTTTTCAAACACGCTCACGATTCTAATCAACCTCAATTAAATTCTGTGGTTTTATTTTTAACCCTCAAGAGTAAGAAGGATTTACTACAGGGGGGCGGGAACAACACTACGTCCCTCTTTACACCAGCATCAGGAGTACAAATCTGCTATATGGGAAATGAACGCATGTAATTGATCAAAACTAACAGGGACGTATTGTGCTACTTGTTATAGCGGGCGCAATTATATTTTATGTATTTATTTATTGGGTTTGGGGGCGGCACAGCTGAATTGCAGGAGTTTTATTAAATCGTTGTAATATTTAGGGCTGGATACAAACTGGCCCACTTATGCTCACTTTAGCCCTTAAAAGGTTAAATGGGCATAAGTGTTATCTTATTAAATACAAGGTGATATAAACTGAGCAGCTGGTTGAAGTTCATGCTATATGCCCTGATTAAGAAGTAATTGAATTAGTAGGCTACTATTAATACATTTTTGTAGATTTATTAGGAGTGTCGGAAAAATCGATTTGGCAATATATCTTAATTTTCGGCTGCCCAATATGATATTGATCTTTCAGCTCCTTATATCAATTACAAAAAAAAAAGAAAGAAAAAAACTCCCCTAAAGCAATGGGGGGTAATGTGCTACTTCTCCACTGCTCTATGGTTGGCTCTGTGGAGCCACTTTGCTTTCACACTGGAAGATATGGGCTGTGACCCCTAGATCCCTCAATCAATGTATAGAGAAGGGACTACGTATATAGTGGACTTTATAGTGAACTCGGTTAACTGACTGTACGGACAGATGATCACTACTTTTTGCTCCGTGTTGGTCACGTTGTCATGATTTTCTTAAGTGATCCGACCCACGTTTCCCACATCCAACCCCCGTTGGGTGTTTCCTGAATCCAACCCCCAACGGAGGTTGGATTCAGGAAACTCAGTGTGCTGATAAACCGGAACTGGAAGAGGGAGGGAAGTATCAGAGGTTAGTTCAAGATCTGTGGCAACTTTGAGCGATGGCTGAGAGAAAACGGGACTCATGTTGATTGAGAAGACTTCTTGTCCCAGAATCCAGTTAGTGTTGGTTTATCCAGAGATAGAGACTCATTGGAGGGCTAACAGGTTAAGACTTGGTTGGATCCTGAGGAGCTATTGAGCGGACTGTCACTTGGGAATACAGGAGGACTTGAATGGAACTTGTGGAGGTTAATCCCCTGCTCAGTGTGAGACTCAAACAATCCTTCCAGGGGAAGAAGGTCAAACATTCAGCTTGCAGGAAGACTTCCTGCCAAAAAGGCAAAGACAAAAACAAGGTTAAGCTCAGCGAAAACAAAGACTCAGTTAGACTCAGCAAAACTCAGCTTGGCTAGAGTACCCAAAACTGGCAAACACTTTGGCGTCGAGGTAGTGACAGTCCACCGCTCAAATAGTCCTCAGTAATGAGCCAACCAGCCGCAGGTGTGTGGGAGGACCAACGAGAACAGGGCGCCACCTGGTGGTGAAGGGAGAGAACAACACAAAAACACAATCCACACAAACTGGATTCCTAACACATGTGACTGCGTTACTGCACAGTGCCTCCGCCATCTTTGTTATTTGTCACCGCTGTTGGGTAGTGACAGTGGGCCGCTGTGATAAGAAATCCCATGATGCTTTGCAAGTAGAGCTCTCCTTTCTGGGACATATCTGCTAGTCTAGTGACCATGGATGATCACTACTTTTCAAGCTGCATGGGGAATTTCGAGTCCACTACTTTTTCATCCACTAGATGTTCGTGCGGATAGGGCGTACAGTGGGCGCAGACTCACTTCAACCCCAAACAACATAGCTCCCAAAGTTACTGAATCATCAATATCTTCAGATGATCATATATAGCACTTGCTTTCTTATCTCTAAATTTACATGGTATTGTATTGAGACCCAAGTGTTGTGAGGCGTATTGTACTGTAACACCCTTGCCAGTACTCACCCAGTTTATCATCTGCTACATAAATTAAATAGGAAAAGTCTCTATATAAATGTCAGTTAAAAAAAATAAAACAAGTTGACATCAAAAAGAGAGAGAGAGGAAATTTTCTCATGTTTTGTGCAACAATGTTTGTTAGGAGACTGATAAAGAATTCTCAACATGACATGAAGGTTTTCATAAACATTATGTTTTTTTGGTAATAACAAGATTATTATAGTTTTCAATTAATAGTCAAGTTCAAGTGAAGCATTTACATAGTGGCTGACATTCCCTCACTCGGACCGATCCCTATGAACCACAGGGTGCTGGGAGTCCGGAAGGAACACAGCGTCCTTCCTCACCCAGTGTTCTCTGCAGAAAAAAAAAAAAAGCAACAGTGACCTTTTCCCATCAGTCACCTCTGAGCAGTTCTGTCATGCAGCACATGGAGCACTTTTAATCACTGCACCTCTCATAATCAGCATCATAATGATCTTTTTTTTTCATATTAACTTTATACATGGGAGCACCGTCTGGTAGTCTGTGGGATTTAAACAATGTTTCTTGCTGTAAAATCCCCTCCGGAAATAATCACACACATACCCACACACAAATACATATATAGTCTTCCTGTTTCTGTGTATTTTCCATATAGGCAGTCGACACTTGCTCATGTAGTTTCATAGCAGAGCCTTCCTGTTATCTGCTAACGTCTAGCTTTCTCTTGTTGTCTTACAGACTAATTGACCTGTGTAAAAACATTATGGTATCCCTGAGCTTATTCAATATTAGACATCTTAAGGATGTTTAAAAATAATATTCTTCCTTGATAATAGCATCCTGTCTAAATTTGTTTTGTTCAATCAGGTGATTGTTAGTAGAGAGAAGGTTTACTGATTTGAAAAAAAAAAAAAAAAATCAAGATTTTAAGGTTTCATACATTTTTTGGTGCATGTTGACATGGTAACCTCAACAAATCCGTTTGAACTACAATAAAAGTGTTTCCCCAATGAGATCAATGCATGCTTGCGATACCCTAGTAATGGCTGTTTACCCAAAACAAACCAGTATTGATTTTGTTTTCCCCATTAAGACCATTTACATTTCCAATTTGGAATTCCCACTCTCTATTCACAGCATCTGCTTGCCTTTAATAGCCGATCCAAGATGGCACGTGGAATCTCATAATTAATCTGGAGAGATCAAATCCAGGTGCAGCTGCTGTTCAAAGTTGACTCAAAACACTGATGCCAACTCAAACGACTGCTGTATCAAATACACAAATACATGCACACATACAATAATGATAATAACGTTCTTCTTTCGGTCGAACTATGGGGCATAAAAACTGTAGGCCAGATATTGAGTTGCTAGACGCATAAATACAAACACGATGACCATAAAATTATGATATAAAAGATCAAGATACAGATAATAAAAAAATATAAAAAGTGATCAAAACAACATATGGAAATATATATGAATTTAAGAAGAAAAGTAAATCTACTAAAATCCTTAGAGAAATTTGTATTTTATGCTGAAATTAAAGACTGAAATAAAAATCAATTGAAACAGTCGGGTAATTATTCCACAAAAAGTAAAAAAAAAAAATAATAAAAAAAAAATCCACTGGAGTTTGTTTCCAAGTTTGAAGACATTTCGCCTCCCATCCAGGAAACTTTTTCAATTCAAAGTGTCAGAAATAACATTAAATTTGAGGCTTTATAGAGTGGACCAAAAAAGCCATATTCTGGCTTAGAAAACATGCAACTTTTGAACTATTTTTGGAATGAGTATGACCTAGATGACTGAGAATCTTGACTAACAGTTTAATTGATTCAAAGTAAACCTTAATTATTGTATGGGGACATACGATAAGTTTTAACAGATATTTTGCACCTTAGTATTTATATCTAAATTCAGTTTATGATGTCTCACCCTAAATGGGCTTTTGGTTTTTCATAAAACAATAAAAAACTATAACAATAGGTTCAAATCAATATTACAGAACTGATTAAAGTTTTTAGAACAATGGACATTTTTTATGTTAACTTCTCTTACAGACAATGTTTGTTTTAAGAGAAGTTTAACATAACAGAGAACATAACAGAAGATCCCACTATATATGATCTGGAGGATAGGTTGCAGACTCTGCATTCTGCAAGGAATCACAGGAAAACAGCAAACTAGGAGACTTACCGTATAAACATTGAGATACATTTAGGATTTGATCACTTGGAAAAATTTCCAAGGTTGATAAATTTCAATTTTTATGAGGAAATGGTATTGATACGATCTTGCAGGCTTTCTGTCAGAGATTTTCTATATAAGAAGGGCAAAAATAATTAATTGGATTATTCAGGATTAATCAATTTTTTTTAAATAATCGGCAACTAATTTAGTAATCGATTAATCATTTAATGCAGTATAGAGACTCAAAAACATGCCTTTAGATGGCAGAGAACCCCACTTGGAGCAGCAATTACAGGTGCTGGTCATAAAATTAGAATATCATGAAAAAGTAGATTGATTTCAGTAATTCCATTTAAAAAGTGAAACTTGTATATTATATTCATAAATTACATACAAACTCATATATTTCAGATGTTTATTTTGTTTAATTTTGATGATTACAAATGACAACAAATGAAAATCTCAAATTCATCATATCAGAAAATTAGAATATTGTGAAAAGGTTCAAAATTGATGGCCCCTGGTGCCACACTCTAATCAGCTAATTAACTCAAACCACCTGCAAAAGCCTTTA